ATTTTAAAGAACAAGAGTCAGATCATTTGTATCGGAGCTCAATTTGTGAATTTGTCACCCTATAACTACGTCTTATACAGTGTCAATTATTATTAATTTTAGGTCAATACCACGTAATGTAGGATGGTAATGTGGAATTCAAATAAATGTCTTAAATAGTTATAATTAGTCTAAATATTTAGAAATAATATTATTATTCTGTATAGGTACAAGTGGCTATACGTAATGCCAACAAGTTTCAAATGCATAAACGATAATATCGTGTTAAAGCAAAAAAAAGACTAAATCGTAATTTATTGTTTAAATTTAAACATTTTAATATTAGTGCCCAATTTTGTTAAAATTGTAACTTGAAACAATTATTTTCTAGTTTGAAACTGACGCTGGGACTGCTTAGAACACGCAAACACACTTTTTCGTGGATAATAGTTGGTGTTCTAATCTGTATATCTACTCAAAAGTGGGTTTACGTTTTCGAAATTTTTATATTGCTATGAGTACAACATATTATAAAAATAGTATTATTTTTTCTAGCTTTTTGACCTCAAAAATGTATTAATCTTACAAAATTGATTTGCCTCAATTGAAGGGGTTAGAGGTTTCACGTGATGTAAATTACTAAAATACTATATCTGAGCGATATCGGCCTTTACACTTTTTGAAAATGAGTTCTGAATAGTGTCAATACCTATTACGTTTTAACAAAGTAAAAGGCAAACTTCACATCGTGGGTTTCTCAGATATATTGCATTATTCTATGGTCTCATAATTTTAATAAATTAGTAAAAATAAATATTTGCTCTTCATCGTGTTATCAATTATTTTAATATTATCGTTATTATAAAAATCTCCTTATATTATACCTATTATTATTATTATGTACACAACTATCCATATTGTCTGGGTTTGCCTCTAACAGTGTGTGGTATTTTTATTAAACGATCAAGGTTGCCATGAACTGCAGAACAATCTTGAGACCCACAGTTAGGTACTATACCTATACATTTCTAGCTATACTACGCAATTATATAGGTATACTATTGAATAATAGTTGTTCACTTGGGAAACTCCTTAATATAAAATATAACCTCTCTGTATACTATAGTCTAATTGTTATTACTTTTTTTTATCATTGCGGCAGTATAGGTACTATTTATACGTTATTAGCCCTTAAGTCTCTATAACCTATGATTCTACAACATATTTTACCCAGAGAAACTGTCCTTTTTGACACTTTAAGGTTAGTTAATTGTTGTATATGAATTTTTTTTGTTGACACATAATGTTATAATATTATAATATTGTTATGTACACGTCATGGTTGTACAGTGCCACAGCGCAAGGGTGATGGTGGTCGGGCGGTGTGTATTCGTTTTGTAAGACCCTACGTTGTTGTAATGATTAGTAATCACCTGTATGAAAGTCATAGCTGCAGCGACGGTGGCGCGGCGGCAACAACCTGACGATCTCGCGGTTGGCTGTCGAGCTGCCGCGCGAGCGGGCGGGTGGGCGGGAGGCCTGGTCCGATGCCGCGCCACCGCACAGTGATTGCGACATCCTTCCAACCACGGCGGTGCTCAGCTCCCCCGCCACTATGCAACGTCGTTACCACCACATAGTCGGACAAAATTATAATAATAATAATAATAATAATAATAATAATAATAATAACGTGCAATAACATATTTTGTGCATCGTTGCTTTTTATTGTTATTCTTATTACGTTCACGTACTTTTTTGTACAAAGAAAGTGAACTATAACTATTCACTGCAGCTATTATCATCGGTTAAATATATAGGTACTTAAATCCTCTCATCTGCACGGCTGATCTATGGGTATATATTATATGTATATACAATATGCGTTCGACACATTGTTATAAGTTTTTCGATCCCGTTTGTCATGCTCGTGATCACACATTATCTATGATTTACGTACCCATATATACTCCAGAGTCTTATGCTAATTCCGTGTGCCGAAAACGGTGGGGATCATGTTGTATAGGTACCTATACTCTGATTTTACGTTATCCCCACTATTTTTGCAGGCGCATTCGAAAGTCCTGTATAGGTATATCTATGACGTGCTCAATTCACATGGATTTTATACTGTACCTATGTGTATGTAGTAAGTACATATATTATGAGTGTATGACTGTATGCAAGTAGGTGGGCCAATGTTCGACAATAAAAACTTAGGCAGTCGACGACGATGTGGTAGTAATGCACAATATCTACAACAGTGTACTAACAGTTTTTGCCTAGTTTGATGATTTATTTTGTGATAGATTTGTGAGCAGCAAGAAGAAAATATAAATACCTGCTATATACGGAATTAACGAGGTAATTTTATAAATCATTGTTGCATATGTCTATATAATATATTATTACGAATTAATAATTATACTATTACATATATACCTACATGTACGATTGCGAAATATGCGATCTCAAATCATCTGCATTATAATATAATAGGCAATTAAGGTACCTATATATACCACCATAATATGTATGAGTATATGTATTATATATGTGTACAAATTAATTTAGTATTTAGATGCACCTAAAGTCCTAAACTTTATTATTTCCATAACATTTCATGCTATCAATCAATAAAATAAAATCACACTTTTCAGTATTTTAAATTTATATATCCTTAATATTGAGTTATGTTAAGGCCGATATTGATATACAATTATAAAATATGATTAATTTAATTAGTGTCATTAAAAATTCTTTATTATAGTATAGGTTATGTATATATACGGTGCAAATTAACATTGAAATTCATCTAGAGCTGGGTCTATGGAAGGAAATATAGTTGTTCATTTTTTAATATTACAATTTCAAATACTGTGTTAAAAACATAGGACTACGAAGGAGTTGCATGTTAGCGTTCATGGAATTATTGTGTACCATTATTTCAAACTAAAACTAAATTTGGAGTTCAATGTACACAGAGCTTATACAGAGCTATATAGTAAGTTGTCTTAAATATATTTAAACTAAGAAAATAACTTCAACGGCGGTGCTAAACAATAATACGATTTTACATGTATTAAATTTTCATTTTTATACATTTTACATATAAAAACATATATAAATACATTTATATTTTACATATAAAAGTTGTAATACCACAATCCATCACTTGTCTAAATTATAAACTTTTTTATTCGACATCGTCCATATAGATAGTCTTTAATTGCGTCTAGACTACTTATCTACTTTTTTATAATGATACGATTGCTCCATTACAAATGCATTAATGACACGACTGTGGAATGTAATGAAGATAGGAATTTAATCTACCAAATTTTGTTTTGAGTAGCCTCGTGATTTATGTGAGGGGACAAAGTATGAGACATCGCATGCCCATAAATTATGATAAAATGTACACGCTGTTAATATAAGGAAATAAAAATTCCCTCGGAAACACCCCTAAACCAATATTGCGACAGTGGAAATCAGGCGGACATAATGACGAATCAGACGAATGCAATAGGTGATAACATAACTGCAGAAGACGTGTTCAATTCATATAAATTAATTTACAATAACGCTCGATACGTATAGAACTGTTTTTTTTGACCCCTTCGAATAATAAATAAAACAAAATTGGCTGGTCCGTTGTAGTTTCCGAAAGTTTAATATTTTTATTTTCATCAACACTTTCGCAACTTATAGAAGTGGAATGTAATTTAATTAAAAATGTATCCGTACAAAGAAAATCACAGCTACAGAGGCACATGCGAAGCGTGATGAATTTATGTACTTTGGTTATTATGTTTCTGGTATACAACATATATATATTTTAAAAACGTAACGAAGAGAAATTGTTTGGATGGGGAGCTAAAAAAAATTCCAAAACTTAACCCTCCCCCTTTCTAGTCATTCTAAGCTATAGATTTTATACCTCGTGCAATATATTCGATATTACTCAAATGGCAATAAAATATGAACTGATTATTAAATATTTTACTTGTGACTTAAAATTGTTTGTACACACTTACGCGGTACGAGTGTAAATATAACCAGATATTAAATTCGAATCCCATTAAAATCGACCGACCGCTATCGCTCATAGTCAATAATCCGTTGTCAGATAAGATATTTCTGATTAAAATTGTTGAAATAAACATGCAGTGTAAATGTAACCAGATATTAAATGGCAATCCAATTAAAATCGATCTACCACAAATCACAACCGCTTATATAGTTAATATAGTTAATAATTCGTCGTCTGCAGATAAGTTTATACGCTATACGCTTGTCATATTATTCGGGACACACTATTAGTATTTCAATTTCTGGACCAAACTCGGATGCAGTCGGTTTAAGAACTTAGTTGGTATTGATTAGTTTCAGAGTAAGTATACCTACCACTAAATACTTACAAGTAAACACATTAACTAATAACTAGGTTTATATAACTAATACGTATTTGTACTTTAAACGTATACTATTACCACTAATACCACTACTTATACTACAACTACTGTATAGCTGCTGATAAAATTGTTAAAATTATGAACAATTAGGCAGATCGTTGGGATTTGTGTACACTATATTATGGGTTCGAGTATTATAATAAATAACAGTGTAATAGTTCGGCCATGCGTTGTTCAAACAACCGATCGGGAAATGTGTTGGTCCAACAAATATATTTTACACACTCGCTTGCAGCCATGTGCAGAACAAAAAAAAAAAAGGATGACAGTTTATCGAATCGGGTCCTATATGGACAGTGCAGTTTAGATATATATGCCAAGGCAGCAGGCGGGCCCGGCCCAGTTTATAATATTATATATATGTATAGTTTTTAGAGAGGCACATCATATTATATAATACAATACACATACAACACGATATACGCTCTTAAACAGCAGATGACCACACATGTAATAACTATATTTAATAATATGTTACATTATGTCCCTTACACTATGTCTATGTATACTTAAGGAATGACTTCTCCGTCGCAGGTCTTAGCGGAATCGCGATCGGTCACCGTCGTCACTTTCGTCCGCTATATTGTGCTGGAACCATTAAAATCATCATTTTAGTTTCGAATACGGTTCGGCACGGACGGTCGGCTATAGCCTGCATCAGTAATAATTGCATTTTAGCGCTCTCTGTCAAAGCTACTCCATTGAATTTTGTCAATTTATTAGTTATCGTCATTTTTGTTGTCGATAAACTTCAAAGGTACGTATACGTTTGCCAAACTTAAGTTTCTACACGAGACCTAGCAGGTTATTGAGTCCATTTACAGTAAAAAAAAAAAGGTACGTATATTATTATATTAGTTTCCACACAAATGTGAGTACAAATGAGATGTGTATAAGTGTAAGTTCTTACAAGGGACATGACAGAAAAAAATATCATTATATGTAATTCTATTTCTTAAATTAATATTATATGATATAAAGGATGTTTTGTTTTGTAACAAGTATTAATATAATGTACCTATATATAAACCATACATGTACTATACGATTTTTTGTTTACAATTAGGAAATATTATATAAAAATGTATAAAAATGAATTAATGCGTTATGATTTTTCCAACTTATAATATGAGGTATATAAAATATAAAAATTAAATTAGGCACCTATATTGAATTATAAAATATAATTATGTATATACATACAATACTTATTTTTTTTCTGCCGTGTAAGAATTTACATAAGCTATTTTTTTTTACTGTGTTGAATCTTACACATCTCATTAAATGTAGGTATAAACGTATGTAATTTTTCACCTGCTACTCTCGTGTAGAAATTAGATTCCTATAAGCTCATATAAATGTAATTATTTATAGTATAAGGATTTAATTATACAATGTATTGTTCAATAGTCAATATATTTTATTATCTACATTTTAAACGTTCGTATTTAGACATATGCGTCAATGATATAGGTACATGTTTAAAGCCATAAAATGGGATTATTTTTATTTGGACGGGGTGATGCATTTTGTTCAACAGTTAAAATATGACGCATAGGTGTACTGTACACAATGTAGGTGGTTGTATTATTGTCCATTATACTTAACTGCACTATAGCTATATCGAACAGAGATAATCAAATCACTTATTCTCACGCAGACTCCTCTTCGGCTCCTCCTCACCCCCTCGAATCACTAATTTTTTTTCGTAAAGTACAATATGTATGCTCATGTATTGTTAAACATACGGCTATTATACGATAATATTATGCGTAAACAAGTAATATTATCTTAAAACTGTCACGTGTACTATGTATTACTTATTACTAACCTGCGTCATACCTAAACGAACAATCTGTACAAAAAAAAAAAAACTGTTACTTTAAAATGTATAGAATATTATATCCTATATTTAAACTTAAATGAATACAGTGTTGTTGGTATATAGTTATTGTATTTATTCTGCATACTTCTGTAGACATATAATATTTATATAACATGGGTTATTTTGACGTATAATATCTATTTCGTGTGCAGGAGCAATACTATTATAAAAACTCTTTACACTTGTATTAAGACACCAAAAATAATAAAACCTTTTCATTTATGCCTTTGATCATACCACCACAATTAATTTAAATGTATTATTAGTGAACACCCCTCCCTCCTTAAAATTATGTATCCAAGAGGGTTGTTTGGGGATTAAGTCCCCCTCCCCCTTGAGCCGAGTCATGTTATCAAATTATTACATGAATTTATTAAACTTTAAAGGAATATTTATTTTATTTTATTTTATTTTATATATCTATCGTTCGTAGCAAACATAATGCATAATCGTGTACATATTTTCGTTAATTGAAACTTAAGTGAAAGTTTGTACCCGTGTATATATATATAAATTGTATAATATTTTTGATTATCACCCTCCTTAGTCCTTACAAAAATCCTAGTTACTCCCCTCATTGAAAGATTCTCCGGATTATAAGCTGTTGTCAGCCTATGGGTAGGTACTTATTTCTATGAATATTTTATTATACATTAATTTTTATTAGTAATAATGTAAGTTTTATATATTTTGTTGTATTTTTAACTACAAGAGATTCCGCACTATTATTTGAATTATTATAATTATGCCTATGGGTACTCAATGAAATTTTCAAAATATTTAGATTTTTTAAGCTATTGCCTATTTACCATACATCTATTTAAACCGTTCTGTGGTAATTTGGTGTTGATTTAAAAATTAAAAACAATAATATATATTAATATGATATAAAACTATGTATATAATAATACAATAATATTTAATGATAAATCAAATAAATGTGATTTTTGCTCCAACAATTAATTGAACTTAAAGTAGTAGTAAGTTAGCAAGTAGTAAGCTTAAAAAAAGTATACTTAATTATGGTTTACAGAACAACTTCACTAAGAATTGTTTTTAGCGTACTTATGCAATGATTTATTAATGAATTCAACTCATTACAGAGACCTCAAATTAATTAAATTATACGAGGTTACCTACTTGCCCACTTTTTTTGAAAGCTCTTCAAGTCTTTGCGTTAGGGATTTTATTGATTTATTTTTTACATGTACTTAAGATTTTATGAATTATTTATGCATTATTTGTATTTTATATAAGTTATAGCAATGAACAATCAAACACCTAATTCAGCCGCAGCAAATAACGGAGCAAATGCGAATACTACATATTGGTACCAGCCGATTCAGACTGTGCATAATAACATTGTGGTACCTGAACTTGATAACAGACAAAGTATACCGGATTTTTTAAAAATGAATAAAGCGGAATCGATAAAGCTACTGTCATTGCTCAGTGACTGGAGAATGGGCTTCTTGTTCAGAACTCTTTACGGTAAAAATCGCTTCCAAACCACAAAATAATTATTTAATTTTGTGACCAAAAAATCTCAAATATATAGAAACACGGGTTTTTAACAGACAATTTAGCAATACTATTTGGCCGAAATTATAATTTTAAATGACGACAATAAGGTTTCAGATATATTTTTGTTGTAGCTTAAAAATATTATTTGTGGATACCTACTTGAATCTTTTGACGTGTGTCATGTTGTGTACACGAGATGACATTAATAAATGTAGTATTTTCGTAAAAAATTAGTTTAACCTACCGTTTTACCAATAATCAAATTAATTACTTTAGTATCAATATAAATTATTTATACTCATTTTAACACATCAATTATAGTGATCAACAATGACATTGATAGACATAAAGTTACATAAATTCTTTTTTTATTATTATTGTATTTTTTAAATAACGACGATATAAATAATATTGTATTTTATAAATTAAAAATAGGCGTATACATTATTCTTAAAAAAAAAAATTAAAAAAAATTAGACCATTTTCTTCTAATAAGAAATTAAGAATAGGTTTTTTATAGTCGTATTTTATTACCTAAATAAAAAAATTAAATTTACCATTGAATTGTTAGCAACTATATAAATACAATAAAATATATATGTATCTTTATGTAACCTAATCTAAATTAGGATTAATTGAAGTTACGATGTTAAGATGTTATCGATTATGACTCTCTCTTTATAATACAATACCCATCACTACATGACTAGTTTCCCCAAATAGTCTAATATTTGGATGAAAATTGACATATTTTAGTAAAAAAAGATGTTTAAAGGAAAGTGGAATACAACGTTTCTTGTGGTAGAAAATGGTCAATAGAAGAAAACGGTATCTCTTTTTGGAGGAAAATTGACCCACTTAGTACCTACCTACCAATTTATCTATAAATTGAATTGTTTAAAAAAAACTACACATATAATGTACTATATTTAGATATACATATATCTATATTATATAGGCACGATACATGACTATTATTGTATATTTTCGGAATAAGTACGCTCATAAATTTCATGGTATATATACGTATAATTGTACTATAATCAACGGATAAGAATAATATTAATTTTAATTTTGATGAATTTTTTGCATAGATGCACTGGTCGATGTCGAAGCATTAAAATACATCACTCCGACCCAATGCGAATCACTGTTGATCGGTTATCCTCTGGGCATAAGAGTCAAATTCGTCGGCAAATTGTTGGACTGGAGACGTTTGACTATTGCCGAAATCGTCAACAACACCATTCCTCTACCGCCACCACCATTCCCTGGCGTGTTCTTGTAATAGAGTAATTTATCTAGTACATTTCAGGCATCCGATGTATCGTAGAATAATAGTAATAATTACACACATAATAATAATAAGTATAGATACTTACACATGAGTAATTTCCCATGTCATTATAATATAGTATAATATAGCTACAGCGGATGTGCACCCTCTCCCCCCACCATCCACTTACAGTTTGCATTTTAATGTTTTATTGATTTGCCAATAATCTATACTATAAACTATTATATCATATTGTACCAAATGAGATTAAGACAAATAATTTTATCTTATCGATATTATTATACGTATAATAATGTATACAATAGTATGAAGTTTTTTTTTTTATCTACATCTATCATTTTTTATATTTTATTTAAAAATGATATACTTATAGATTATACTTATGTATTATTCATTTAAAAATACAAAAGTATTACTTATATTCTATGGTTATATATGCTTATCATATTTTATCGTTTTATCTTAAAGCTGTGCGTAATTAACGAAAAACATTTTATTCATATGTGTAAATGTGCCTAAACGAATTTAAAATGAACAGTATCAAAAAAAATTACAAAAAATACGAAATATTAAATTGTTTTATAAATTTTAATAATAATGATGTATAGCCGTATAGGCGTACTTTCGTTTTCTATATCAATTAAATACATTATTAAATCTGTTGTGATACATTATTTAACTAATATAGCCAATAGGTACATTGTCAAATTTGCATAATTTTAGTTTTTATGATTCCTTGATTTTAGTATTTTTTTTTTATTTACAGTATTCCGTTGATGTCGTAGCTATATTTTTAACTGTTCAAAACAATTATAATTGTCAAAGCATTTTTTTTCTTACCTTACATCTTATCTCCATGTATTATTTTTATTATACTTAAATATTTATCAATATTGTATACTTATTTATAATGTTTAATTTTCTATGATTTTTATATTCATGCATTAATACAATATTATACAGATATTTTTTGTTTTTTATTAAAGAAGAAGACCTCGATGACGTATCCATTGGCTTGTTTTACATAATATATATGGTACTTAAATTGTACAATCCAAATTATATTGTTGACGGATTCTTCTTCGGGGTTCAGTGGTAAAGAAGTGGGCTTCATAAAGTTGTTCAGGTATATAGTATTTTTGTCGAGCCTCTCCCATGTCTCAACATTCGATAATGATGAGTGATCATGTTTGATTGAAGTTGGATATGCGCAGTGGCATGTAAGACATGTTCTTTTAGTGGTTCTTTTTTTATCATTAATCATTATACATATAATTTAGGTGGTGGGTTTTTAAGTGGGCAAATGAATATTATATTTATTAGAATTAGGTGATTTAACCATGATCAAAAAATGTACATGATATAAATCATTATTCTTATTAAAATAACATAAAGTTTATTACATTTGAGATAACAACTAATAATTTTTCAATGTTCGAATGTACTTATTTATTATAAGTTGCATATTTTAAAGGTTTTTTGTCCATAAAATTCCGTTTCCATTTTCCCATTGGCCATAATTATTATACATAACTAGTACATGTAACATACAATACATAATTTATTGCATATGTGCTTGCAGCATACAGCATGCATATACCGAACGATTATCATCGTAATATGGCAGATCGTAAATATTGTGATTACAGCGAGCAATTGGTAAAAATAAAACTGCAAATAGAGTTCTGCATTTTTTGGTTTTTAAAATGGATATGATAAAATAGTAATAAGTAACTTTAGATTAATCATTACATTTATAGAAACTATGAGACTAGGTACTAATTTTATTTGAGTTATTAGTAATTATTATATTTTTTAATATTTAACCTTACTATATAAACCATGCACAATTATTTCAAGTATTAAATATATCCTAATGGCTTGGTGTGATGAGGTGTTTGGCTTCAGTCACAAAACGTGATCTGAGTGCCAGCACCGGTCGTTGCCACTAGTTCCCGGATGGGTAACCACTCGGGCTTTAGTGACAAATCCTTGTCGCACATACAAGTGTTCCAAACCAACCGTAACCTACACTACAGTTAAAAAACATACTAAAAATAACCACCCAATGGCCTTTATTTTGCCGTGGGTTACATGATAAATAAAAAAAATAATATACCATAGAAATACTATGGCTAATATTTCAATTATATATTATAATAATAGCAGGTAGATTGGTGAAAACGGGAACCAAACCTTTTTTTTAAATTTAATTAATTGTCGGAATATTGGTGCGGTCCATACAAATTATAACAAAAGAAATAAAAAAATCTGAGTACTGGTACACCTCAAAATTTAATTTTCAGGCGTCCTAAGATATCTACTATGTTTATATAGATTTAATAAACCACCATCGTCAACAAGTTAAATTTAAATAATACGCAAAGAATAAAAAAATAATGTTAGCAATCAAAATGATAAAAAAAAAATAAACATAAGTAGGTACATACAAAGTAGCGGGTAGGTACAATAAATATAAAAAATAATATCATTTATGTCATAATGACTATTTTATATACTTTGCTATATTATTTAAAAAATGTTCAATTTTAATTTTTTTATTTAAGTAGTCTCACATCCCATCGATTATCGGTAAAATAAAATAAAAAATAATTTGATTGAGGATCGTAGTACTAGTATTTCGCGTTTGTATAAAGACATTACCAGCTTTTCATTTACCGACCGAAACAATCATTTCAAATGTTGGCGGAAACGGGTAATTCCCCAATTTACCAATCCAGCAATTTAATTTTTTGCGGAAGTAATAACAATGTATATATTATGTCGTATAAGTAATATAGGTAAGTATATAATACCTACACATTATAAAATGTTTACCAATCGCCAATCACAAACTAGGCAGTAGGCACCTAGGCGAACTAGTTTCTATGATTTCTAAAACTTGCACCTGGATGTCATTCTTCTGAATTATAATAACTTAGGTTTTTACTACTTGGGACTACAGAGTATTATTTGTTGTGTAAGGTCAACATTACTACTATTCACACGTTTGTATATTCTATATTCTATATTCGTTTGATCACTTAAATGAATTCGTAGAGCTCGTGGCCAGCGAAACTTTATTATATTATATTATATACACACTATACACATAATATTTTATGGTCTGGGATAAAATCGTTAGGGTGTGTGGTCCCTTCGTGCGGCGAACACGTACACATAAAACCTACATCAAACATACAGAATCGCCGATATTTTTCTCGGAACTCGTTTATTTTAAATAAAAAGTCTTACAAAGAACCGGTCCTTAGTACTATACACAATATAATAATATTATAGTGTATAATACACCCCGTCGGGAATTCTTTGGGTTCTTCGTTTTTCGTTTATTTCGAACGGTTTTATTACGAACGGCACACACACACAGACACACACACACGCACACACACGTGTAAATATTATTAAGTGTATAACAAGTGTCGTTTGAGAAAAATATTTTCCAAACAGGTCCCTTTTGTATTTGGTGGTACAAAATAATGCTTGCTACATCCATATTATCGTCTTCGCAAAGCCGCACATATGTTCGGCCTCGAAGCTCTGAGGGGGTAAGACCTGTATTATTATTATATACAAATATAATGCACAATGTACATGCATTATATACATTCTACGTTATATATGTATATTATATGCACAGGGTCATCCGTTTATTGTAGGACACTGATAATTTCAAAACATATATTATACTAAGGTTTTTTTTAAATATTTTTTTACTAATTTTTATAGTTATCATTTAAAAATGATTTACTCTTTTCAATGACAGCAAACATTTTTAATTACATATTCCGTTTTAGAATATAATCAGATTATTTTCATCTATAAAAATCAAATTTTGTACAAGTAGTTTATTAGTTACAAGTATTTAAAGTTATTAGATGGCCGGTTATGAACCACCATTTTGCGGGGTAACCTCGTACCACTCCGAGCTTCTCATCTAAAATATAAATACAAATAACTCACAAGCTACTGGTAAATTTGATTTTTATGTATCGAAGTAGATAACTACTTCAAATATTATTCTACTTTGGAAAAGGAATTACAAATATATGTTGTTATAAAAAAAATTTTAAAAATGTATATAAAATACCTAGTAAAACTCATATTATTTTAATAAATTGTTATTTTTCAACTATTAATTATAATACAAAAAATATATTACCAAAAATGTAGATAGTTTTTGAAATAATAAGTGTCTTACGTTTAATTGATCACTCACTATATATATACAATATAAATATAGATATAAACGTTGCACTGAATATTCTCCATTCTGACACAGAAGAATCTACAGCAGTGACCAGAACTTTTTTAATTTACAGGCAATGATTCCGGTATCAGTTCTCCAAAAATAATATAACTGTTCCGGTTCGGTTCTGATATTTAATTAAAAATTTAAAGGCATGGGTTGCAGAAATTAACAGGTACCGCCACTTCTGAATAGTTTCTTATATCAGTAAAATATATAATTTCTAGATTAAACTACTCACTTACTATGTACAAAGTGCATAATATGATTCATTTACGTAGAATAATATTATGGTAGAAAATGAATAGTAAATTATTTTAATTTGCCTATAATAATAATTAATTATACTAAACGAATTATTACTAAAAAAGGGGTCAACATAAAAATATAAGTGACTATAAGTAATAATATTAGAAATGTCGTAGTTCTGAGTTAATTCCCACCCTGTAGTTGGAAAGATGCAAAACAGCAATTCCGTTATCACATCAATATTTACACAACTGTTGTTATAATAATTTATGAGGAATACATTGTTTTTCAATATTTTAATATCTAATTGTGTATTAAGAATGTCACACCTACATTTTAGCACTGAGTTCAAAAATCGACGTAGCCTGTAAAAAATTATAATTATAAAATATATTGTTTTGTAAAAAGAAATATTATTTTTTCTGCATAATATGTGAATTATCATGATTTATGATACCTATGTTTTTAAAAATGAATTTTTCGGTCAAAATTATCAAACGTACATAATATTTGCAATAATCTTACTGCTATTTTCCAAAGGGGGTTGATTAGAATTTCATTTTAACCATAATTCAAATAAAAGAATAGCTGAGACTAAGTTGGTGATGTTGAATAGTTTCAATAGTTAAAGTTG